CGCTTTGGAGTTGCCAATCATGCCTGCCCTGCTTTGCTCCAGGCTGCGATGCTGGCAGTGCAGGAACACTGGACGATGCTGATTCCCTGGCAATTCAGAACTGATGCTCTTCTATCACACATTGGTGACCTTTTGGCACTTCATGATTTCAGAAGGATTTCCTTGTGGCTTCTCACCAGGCAATTTGACAAGCTCTGGAATGATCCAGCCTTACTTGGAATGCTGAAACGTCACTGTGCCATTTGTGGTGAAGCTGTGTCACTGCAATACATAGCAGTACACCTGCGACTGGAGCATCAGTTGGGACCGAATGATCTGCATTTGATTGTGATGCAACTTTGCAGGATCTTCACAACAGAGCACTCTGAAGAGCCCTACTGTGACCATTGTGGTGACCTGCTGCCGACCTTAGACGTGCTTGAATTTGATCCAGTACCGGAAATGCATCTTCCCGGCTGCCCATTGATCTTGCATTTGGCTGCCTTCTTGATGCATCCGATTCTGCACAAGTCATCCTATGATCCAGTTGCATGGCCGACGCCACAGGCCATTGAAGCTGCCTTCCAACGTCAAGAACAGCAGCGCCTACTGTTCAATGTTCCACCCTCAGACACAGCTGGTCGGGAATTTGATGCCCTGGTCTCTTGTGGTCTACAGATCTTGCAAGATGAATTGGTTCTGCATACCATCAATCATCGCTGTCTTGTTTGTCACAAAACCTTTTACATGCCTGGTGCCTTGGCAAAACATCTGAAGCAGCATGATTACAAACAATACAACACGCTGTGGTGCTACCAACGGCTCCTGTTGACATGCGTCCCATGCCCTTGCTGTGGCTCAGATGTTCATTCGGATTCCCAGCCTTGCCCAGCCTTGCAGAACCTTGCTGTCCTTCTTACGAATGGGAGATTCTCTCGACAAGGCGACATCCATCTGGGGCTCCCTTCTGACACCGGGGCAACTTCAAAGCTTGGGAATCCATCCGGACACAGAGAACAAGCCAGCCAAGAGGCCCAGGAGAAAAGACAAAGGCTCATCCACCACTGTTTCGACAGACGATCAAACGCTGAACATGATGAAGACGATGGCACGAATCATTCTCAAACACGAAGATTCGATACACGTGCTGCTTCAAGAATTTCAGTTTGTGATGTTTCTCCAACCAGGGGAAGGGAGCTTATTACCTGTCCTCCTGGCATGTCATCAATCCTGGCAGAAGGGGGACCGTACCCAGTCCTTGCGACACACAATGGCCCTCAAAACCATGGAGACGGTGAAGGACCGCCTCACCAAGTTGAAGAACGCTCCGGCGAGTGCGGACGTGGTGCAGGACTGCATACGCTTCAACCTCATCGATCAGAATCAAATGATGCCGTATCTGAGGTGGGATACGAGCACGAGGCAGTTGGTACCCAGCAAAGACAAGCCACTGCCGATTGGAGAGGTGAGCCGTATCATCGACACCATAGTTCACATCTTGCAGTCGGAACCGGAGATTACACTTCGATTTCATGCACTCTCCAAGCTCCAGACGGACGACAGCAGTGGGAAAACCATCCCATTTCTATGGACAGTGGGAAATCGGACTCAAGGAGAACTGTGGAATCTCTTGCGAACCGTGTCGTATCACAGCATTTGGCAACTTGCGAGATTGACGCTGCGGCCACAGACTCAGCAAAGATCATCCCTGGCCAAGCAGCTGGAAAAGGTGATGTAGATGATCTCCCAAAGCACATGGTGCGCATCTTGGAAAATGACACATCAACGATGTGCTATGTCAATGCTGCCTTACAGGCACTGGCTTGGTGCACACTTCTTTGTCAGGGACTTCATCCGAGTCATTGGAAGTATGGATACGAACTTTTGAGGGGCATCTGTCAATGGAATCCCATTCCGTTGAATCTGAGGGTATTCCAGCCTTTTATTTGGCTGCTATTTGGGGCCTTTACAGAACAAGACTTGTTGACACAGCAGGACATTCTGGAATTCACTGCTTTCATGTTGGATCACCTGGCACCGACGTTTCTTTCATGTCAATGGTGTACACGTTTCCAGTTTGTCACCCAAGTGTCACATCCAATCTTGGACAGCGAAAAAGGCGACAGATATGCTCCCATCTTGATTCGTTTCATTGATTTCACTGCGGCACATTGCACCATTGATGCTCTTCTCTCCCATTGGCATGACGCCTCAGGTCTTTGTCGAGCAAGTAACCAGGCCTGTGACAGCCTTGCGTTGATGTTTGATCGACATATTGAAGGTCAGAACAGGAAGTGTCAGCAACGAATCATCCTTCCCTCGAACATCATCCATTTTCCCTGCTTTGTGGATGACACTGGTGTGCCCATTTTCTTGCAATTTCATCTAGTTGCTGTGACCTTCCATCTTGGGAATAGTCCCCACAGCGGGCATCACCGTGCTGCTCTGAGATACAAGGGTGGTTGGCTGGTTTACGATGATAATCGCCTTCCAGATCACCTTCATGAACTCAGTGATGAAATTTTGAGCAATGCCACAATGTTTTGGCTTATCAAAATCAATGACATTGCTGCCAGGACCATTGATCTGTCATCGACTATGACACAACAGTCTCGCGCTCTGGCTGAGCATCGTGATGACCTTGCAGCAGGATCGACTGCCCGAGAATCCAATGCTGAGACCACAGACACAGCTCCGCACACTGTGCTGGCTGCTCCATCCACAGTCACAAGTGACACAGCTGGTGGCTCTGGTACAGCAGAACATGCGGCAACAGACCATGGATCTGGGACCCCGTTTGCCCCAGCAGCAGTTCCATCATCTTCTGAAGCGGTGGACTCTGAGGCACCCTTGGCCAAAAGACCCAGAACTGACTCCACGGAGTAAACTGCCTGCCATTTCACTACTGGCTGGATTGCTATTGTATCACAAATGAAGGCCTGTATATAGCAGCCGTGCCACAGTTTGAACATAGCTGCAGTTTTGCTATCGGCTTTTTCAGTGCGTATTACATCATTGGCATTTTGCCACAAGCAGGTGAGGCCTCCTGGGCCGACTAGCCACAGTTTTTCCGAGCCGCAGCCTTCTGCATGCATGGACTTTGGTTAGGCCCTTGTCCTCGGATAGTTTCACACTCCCTGTGGCTTTTGTTGCACTGAGCCTCACCATACCAGTTTTGCATGATCGTGCATTGCAGTTTTCTGAAGGTACCACATGTCAGGTCAGTGACCACTACGAACCTGCACTGCATCATCCATGTTTCACTTAGGCATTTTGCCTGACTTGCCTAGCAGGCGATTCGACTGTGATAGCCATTTTGGCTTCTGCTGTTTCACATGGGCATTTTGCTCCAGCTGAGTAAGCGATTTCCGATTCGATATTTCAATGCTGCTGGCATCCGCCACCCATGCCATTGATCCCCAGATCAGTGCCCTCTTTCATGCCCTCCGTATCCCGGAGTGTACCCCCTGTTTCAAGGCCCCCAGAAGATGGCCAAAAAAAAAAAACAAAAGGGGCCAAGAGGCACAAGCCCACACATCAAGAAGCCCCCCCAAAAAAAAACCTTTTGCGCGGGCGGCGGCGGTGGCTGCAAAGAGCGTGCAGCTTTGCGCTGCAGAGCTGCTGGATGGCGGCGCATCTCCTTCTGCTGCTGCGGCGGCGGCTGATGATGCCAGCTGCTACAGGCTTCTGCTAGACGATGCTGCTGATCTGAGAGTTGGCCTTAGGTTCTCACTCAGCTCCTCTAGCTGAACTTCTTTCACGTTTTCTTTCTCCTAGGCACCAGCCTGTCTTCACTTCCAAAATTGTGGAGATTTTTGGGTAGTGTGCCAGATTGCCTCACGAGGCGCTAGTCTGGAAAAAGCCCTGGTGCACAGTGATGGACACAATACACTGTGGCACTAGGCCGCATGAAAATCATGTGATAGGGCTCAGCCTACTGACACAGCAGTCAAAGGGGTCTCAAAATTATTATTAATTATTATTATTATTATATTAAATTATATGTATTATATTATACTATATGTATTATATGTATTATATATATTATATGTATATATATATATATATTATATTATACAATATCATATCATGCCGGAACCAGTCAGAATGCACATACTTGGACTGCATTAAGATGGTGATCGAGAAACTCCTCGACCCTGTGGTCTTGGTATGTCTTGGTGACATCTTCATAGGAAAGCTGAGTGCACTGCCCAAATTAGCCCAAAAAATCAAGGGGATAAAATAGGCTGATAGGATCTGATAGGCATAAAGTTGACATAACAAGTGTCCCAAAAGTGGATCCACAATATGGGTTGTAATATGTTATAATAATCCCCACTAAACCAGTAGATGGCATGATCTTTTCTACCAATCAACAGGGATATTTTTATGGCTCATAGCGTAGATCTACTCATACAGTGCACCTTGCAGGCCTGGTATCTCCATCTTCCAGGACGATGTCATTGAGAACCCGGTCATGTACGCCTGAGAGATCCTGGTAGATTTGGGGCTGGATCTATGGATCTATGGATCTATGGATCGTCTATGGATCATGGATGATGGAGTCTATGGAGCTCGTATTTTTCTCAGAGTTGGAGGTTGCAGAAACATAGCTAGGGCAGCTAAGAGACAAAGGAAAGAACAACGAAGATTCTAAGCATTTTGGAATAGAGCTCACTGCCACATAGCGTTGCGAGGCAGGACTTG